CATTTATTGAAGTTCAGCCAGGAATTCAAATAGCTCCCCTTTTGAACGAACACATACACACAGTCACAAACGTGCACACCACACGTCAACACAGATAAAAGACAGAGGAAGGATCTGTACAGGGCTGCTGGATAACACCACTAAAGCAGACGGTCCTGTCTGAAATGACTAAACAAGGAGACAAGACAACGCAGTAAAAATGACACTGGAGTTCCCCTAAATTCTGTCCCCAGGATGTTGCAAATGTAAATGAAAGTCTCTTTGTCTTCTTATAAATTAAATTTAAAATAGTTGGCAAAACATTCATTCATTGGTCAATTCATGTTTACTCTATTATACATGTGACAGAGATGATGACAAAATATAATATAAATACGAAACAACAGCAGGGGGAATTCTCCAAATAGTCATTCTGATGTGGCAACAGTCATTTAGTTTTTTCAGTCATGCCCTATCTAATCTATTTTGCAGCATTTGCCATGCTTATGAATATAAACAAGGCCAGAATGATGAGCTTGTGTTTCTGCTTAACTTTTTATTCAACAAAGACTTTCTGACCTGTCTTTTCCCCACCACTCACTGCTCCTTCATATAACAATGCCCTTACCTCAATACCCTTAGAAAATACAGCCTCTGTGTCTCTTGTTTGCACCCCTGGGCTTGGTGTAGCAACAACAAAATAATATATTGGCTCAGGAACACAAGCTCCACTGAACTCCAAACAAAACCTCAAAGTATTCATGCTATATAGTAGGATATAGACAGATGCCCCCGCAGTCTGTTCTATAGCGTATGTTGAAGCAAAAAAAGAGACCATAACTGGAGGTTATGCAGCTTATTAGAACAAAAGCTGCTATATTTCCATTCAATTAGAAAACAAAGAAAAAACCTAAATTGATGTACTGTAAGGCTACAACATAGAAATTTGTGTTTTTCGTCAGGCTATCTGTTCAAACCTTATCAGATATCTAAAAAAAAAATACCAGGAGCAAAACTTCAAAGAATGTTTTTGTTTATTATTAGATTTATTCATTCTGCTTAGCCAAATGCAGGATGCTTAAAGATAACGTTTCGGAAGGGACCAAAGACCAAAAAAAAAAAGGCAAATGCAAATGCAAAAAAATGCTGATTTATATCTCTTTATGCTACAGTAGCTGGAAATGCACAAACATTCAATATGTGTCTCTCATAAAGACAAATATTTTCTGATCTCTTATTTTATTTTGTGAAATCATTGATGTATGTCTGAACAGACTGTTTGTCAGAATAAGTGGTTCAGTTTAATGGGGCTGAGTCTGAAAAACACTTTGTGATATCCGTTTTCTTTTAACTCTCCCAGCTGACACATCCATGCTCAGCATGTGGGATGAATCCATGCTCCTGCTGACCAAAACATTCTATTTAGCCATTTGTCACTACCAAAGAAACATAAAGAAAATTTTACTAAAACAAAAATTATAAAATATGTATGCATGGTCTAGGGGAAAGCACACTGTAGCATGACAAATTTATATTCAGGAAGCTAAACATACATATATACAGATATGTATGTATGTATGTATGTATGTATGTATGTATGTATGTATGGATGGATGGACAGACAGACAGACAGACAGACAGACAGACACAATTCAATCAGATCAAGCAGTCATGCTGGTAAAAAGTTTTTATCTAATGAAAACCAGCTAATTGCATCGAGTCATTCACTTGCATGACACAATCCTCCAACTGAGCTTGTGGCGAAGATATTCGCTTGCGTTTTGTTATTGACTCTACAACAGTCCACCACTCTAAGCACACATTTAGCAACAATGGAAATGAAAGTAGAAACTGAATTTTAGACAGTAGAAAAGCCAAAATGATACCAGTAAAAATTAAGTTTTATATGCCAAGAAAGGTAAATATATTTTAGGAGGCCATTCTGACATTTATCAGCTTCACTGAATATGTATTTTGATTAGGGTTGTCACGATATTAAACTTTTCAACTCGATACCGATACTACGGAAAATATTCGATACTCGATACCCTTTTCGATACCACAAGGATAAAAACAAAGACTCCAAATTCTACAGAAATATTTTAATTAATAAATAAAATACAATAAATAAATACAATAAAGGTTGTATTAGGGCTGGGCGATAATTCAATAACGATATATATCGATCGATAGACGTGTGGCGCAATAGAAAAAAAGAGGGTCGATAAAAGTTCGATAAAAAAGAAACGCAGTTTTCCTTCCTTCTCATTGTAGCCTAGCATGTAGGTTTATGCTAGTCACTGCTTCCTCCCAACCAATCACAATCGCGGACCCAGGCACGCCGTCACAAAGCGCCGCCCTCTCAAACCACAACACAGAGCACATGAAGATGTGCAGCAAGGAGAGGCGGAGGAAATTGTTCCAAAGAAGGGTTTTTGTAGTTCGGCAGTCTGGCAGTATTTCGGTTATGGCAAGTCAGACCAAAAACAAACCACAGTCATCTGGAAAATGTGTCGGGAACCAGTGAAAACCAGTCTGATAACGAAACCAACTTTTTTTTTATCATCTCAGCCGCTCACAGCCGAAGGAGTACGAGCTGCATAGGCCCCGACGCTGCTCTCCTACGAGGAATCTTCGGAAAATATATATATATTTTCAGTTCTGGGCAGTTTCCCACGTAGTTCTAACAATTGAGATAAAAATGCTGAGGGGCCAGAAACTTCAAAGTAATAACTCAGGTTAAAGCAGGAAACGGGGGCGGCGGCGGCGGCGGGGGGGCATTTATTTATTTGTTATATTTATTTTGGTCACTTTTCTGGTCACTTCAGTTTATCAGTTATCAGTTTGTCAGTTTGTCAGTATTTAATAACATAACTCAGGTCTCTTAAGTTATTTTTCTTTAAAACAGTTCTGTTATGGTTAAAAAAGTTGGTTAAATAAAGATTTAATTCGAAGTCTGTGTTTGTGTTTTTTATTAAAATTAAATCATTTAGCAATATTATAAAATGTCCAGGCAGAGCTGCACATAAAATATGGTGTCAAATCTTTTCAATAATTATCGATATCGATCAATATGCATTTTTTTTTAATCGATAAGCTTTTTTTCTATATCGCCCAGCCCTAGGTTGTATGCTGTGCACAATATTAAGCAAGCTTGATAAAAAGCTGCACCTCTTACAAAAAAAAAAGTCTGAAACTGAAAAGTGCACAGAATTATTCAATCACACAGTGTTCTGAAAGTGCATTGTCCTCTATTCTGCACTTTAGATGAATGACTGCTTAGGTACCACTGGTGGTGGCACTGTATCGATACTTTTAAAAACGAGTATTGTATCCGGATACAACATTTCAGTATCGATACCTTTTTGAGTATCGATACTTTTGACAACCCTAATTTTGATGTATATCAGAAATAAATTTTCAACTTTGTGTCGATCTAACAAATGTTACATCAATAAGCTAAGTTGAAGTTTGTGATTATAACTTGACAAAATGTGGAAAGGTTCAGTATATAGTTTGAAAGCTTTCACAAAGCCTTGTATGTGGTTGCCAACCGTTTGAGAGAAAATCTGCTTCCTTTCAATTTAAACCAAGGCTGTATTTCCCAATACTTTCAATTGAAAGGGCAATGAACTATCTTCTTTACTTCCCTCTGACCTTGTTTATTTAGTGGACAAACAAAAACACATTTCAGAATATGAGCCACTGAAATCATCCATGTTCCCTTTCATCATAATTTCTTGTACAAAATCACAATTTCATTTTTCGACATGCGGCATCACAATCATTGACCTTTTCCAGTCTTTCAAACTGTTAAGCGACTACAATCAATAAAAAAGACACAGGCATACTTGTTTTAGGGGGGGGAGTTGGGAAAGGCCAATTTCATTAAACCATAAGGCCAGAAAAGTCAGAATATTGGGGAAAAAGGAAATCTCAAATACGATTGCAGGTATTTTATTTTTTTTTTCAGAAGAAAGGGAGATAATCTACAGCAAACAGAAACCTTAGAGAAACATATAATAAAAATAGTCAGTGAGAACTGTTCCCCTATACATCAATAAATTCAAAATGGAACGTTTACAACCATGTACCAAAACCATAGTGGTTGCTTCAAGTTATACTTTGAAAAACTTATTATACTAATTAATACATAATTTTGAACAACTGAAAAAAGCCTTCTGTCAACCATACAATATTGGAGCACCAATGCTCTCAGCACGTGCCGTTTAAATCTGCTAGGGATGCATTACGCTTCCTCATGCTCCCTTTGAGTCACTGAGATTCTAACCCTCTCTGACAGGCTGCATTCCTCTGTGTCCCCACTGACACCGGAGGGTCACAGGGTGGCAGGGCGAGACCGGGCAGTTACCTCCGCCTGCAGCTTGCACCCTGCCAAGTTTAGCTGCCTGCTATCAGTGCCAGCAAGTGGGGATGGACAACACACATGGGGGTGTACTGGAAAATCATATCCCACATTCCAAAACCTCTGACTGGTTATCATATGCTTCCAGTTTTAAGCCTGTGAGTTTTATGGAGGTGGATTGCAGCAACACAAGACAGAAATATTCATTTTACATTTGGTTTTTTGGCCTGTAATGCACAGAAACGTTTTATTAGTCGTGATAAAACTGCATCTGTCTGAAGGGATTGGGTCTTTTTTTAAGGATCTGAATGCAATCCATAAAATGTCAATGGGAAATTATGGTGAATCCTTGGTAAAAAAAAAAAGATATGTCTTCAGTGCTCCCATATTCTTAAGACATTTTTTTACACATTTTTAGTTTTTATGGCTACAATAAGCGGCCTTTAATACCTTCCCAAAGGAAACTGGAGATGCACTTCTATCTGAGCATCATCTTTCTTTCAAAGGATTAGCTCTTAGTTAGGAGATCTTCCATTGCAACACTCTGCAAGCGCAACTAACTCCCTGTTTAATTTGGATCTGTCTACAATTATCCCACTAAATACCCACAGGATCCAAGAGCTTATGTAAATAAAATTTAAAAGAAAGCACTCACACTGTGAAGTGATACATGAAGCATTTCCAGCCAGATGGCCTTTCCAGAAAGTTATACACGCGTCCCTGGATGTAGGCGCGGCTGAGCGCTGGACGGAGCCCTGTGCTGTACACCGACATCCGCACGGACATCCGGGGATGAGACAGGTAGGTTTGCAGGTGAACAGGGGGGGCTCCTACAGGGGAGCTGCCTTCCTCTTGCATCCTCTCTTCGCCCGCAGCTGCTCCTGATCCAGGCGCACTGACTGTCGCCCACAGCTCCAAATCTGGGGGTCTTGTTCCACGCGCCACTCCTGAAAACTTCCTCGACTTAATAGAATTCTCCTCACCGGGAGCGGAAAACATGGACATGAAATTTTTCTACCCTTTTTCTTCAGTTTAACTTTTTTTTTTTCACAGACTGTTTTTTTCCGGTCACTGGTTTAAAGTGACAAATGTTCGCCCATGTGCGCTCACCTTCTGTTCGCGCCTGATCGCATCAAGACGCATAAAACTCTAGGCGACTATAAACTGTTATTAATGCTCTGGATCACCAGGTGATTTTTCTTCTCCCTCTCGTCCTGGGAACAACTTTCCAGCACTCTAGATTGTCCAGGAAATGACAGGTCCCAGACTTGAACGAGTGTCCCTTACCTCTTCTAATGCTTATCAGCCTTGAGTGCTGTCACCAGGCAGTGCGCTGTGGGCTGCCAGCTGTTCAGTTATAAGCCAACTGTATGATGTACTGCTGAACAGTGGAACGAGCTCTGGCCTCCTATGAACTATTGGAGTTTTTTACTTTCTTCTCAAACCATATACTTTATTTACAATGTGGTCAGATGTGTGCATAAGTATTTGTGCAAATTAATCATTATGATTTTAAATTTCCAATTGAAATCACATTTTAATGAAGTTGAACCTACTTGCAATAATCTTCCCCCCCCCAATTCCTCTACCTCAGTTTAGATATTATTTGTCACACTAAAACAAGTTGTCGGTTTTAAGATTTTACTGAATAGCAATAATCAGAATAAGTAGTTAAGAACACTGGCTAGAGAGGACTTTCTTTGGACACTTGCTGTATACCACTGAGCTCTTCGATTGCAGTCCTTGAGGTCTGCTGTGCATCCTTTAAATGAGTCCTTTCAACACACCTGAGTCGAATAATTAGGTCATTAACAGGACTCTGGAGAACTTGACTTGATATTAAGGAGGTAATTCAACAGACATGTTTAACAGGTGGAGGAAACCACACTTCAATAACTTAAACTGAAATCATTAGTGAGCTGGATTCCAGTAAATTTTGTGATGTTTCGACCTAAATATATTATCTAAAGTAGAAAAAGCAAAAGTTTTAAAGCATTTAAGAGAGGTTTTTTTTTGTTATATCCTTACATGGAAATCCATACACATTCCACATACATGTTTTTACCAAAGAGAGCTGGGATTTTAAGTTCTTTATCAGTGAATTATTCTTAGTTTTGTACAAAAGTTGTTTTTTCAGTAAATTCTCTTCTTTTTTGCAAAAGTAAAACATATCTTTTGTTTTCTATACCTATGGGTATATTTTTAAATTTCTGAAATTAATTTAATTTAATTCTCTATTGTAAAAATTCAAAAGAGGAAAGCATAGAACTGACTAAGGAGTTGTTTGGATTTTTTTTAATGGAGGTGATAAAAGAAGGCATATAACCAATGCATGGAAAGATTCACTATGCAACAGTGCAATAATGACAAATGGTGTTTAGAAATTTTAAATTGTACTTTACTTATTTTAGAGGGAAAAAACTCACTTATGAGTCGTTTTTAATACTTGTAGACATTGGCTCCTAAATTGTTGAATAATTAACCAAATAATTGAAAACCCGATTTTTCATTTTTATCTTAATGTTATTTTTCTGTACAGGGCTTTTTTACTTTGTGTCATGATGGATCAAAGGAGCAAGCCCATATGCAGAACACACACGGAGGAGGCAGGGAAAAGTTCAAATGTTTATTAAAAGTTCTGAACACGAGATCATAAAGAAGTTCTGAGACTGGTTCACTGAAGTCTTGACTGGGACCGGAGACTGTTGGTTAGCAGAGTTCATGAGAAGCTAAGCATCTAGCTTCAGGCTTAGCATGGCGGACCTTGATCTGAGCTTCCAGCTCACTGCTGAGAACAACAGGGAATATCCACATAGGATTCTTCAGGCTGAGCTTCCAGCTCATAGCAGAGAACAACAGGGAATATCCACATAGGATTCTTCAGGCTGATTCCACATAGGAATCTTCAGGTAAACTCCGCATAGAAGTCTTCAGGTTAAATCCACATAGCAATCTTCAGGTTGGCTCACCAGGGCAGGTTAGCAGGTTAGGCTCACCTAGAGCTTCAGGCCAGAGACAGGTTTCCACTGAGGCAGCTCATCCAGAGCTTCAGACTAGCAACAGGTTTCCTGTGAGGCACAGACAAAGGAGAGATTAGAATCTGATCTCACACTAGAGACAACTAAGATTCAATCAGTAACTGAGGCTCAGGTAGCTAACCAAACTAAGATCAACACTGCGGCATGGAAGCAAGGTCTGGCAGGAGCTTATAAAGGGGAGGTCTCCTGATGAGAAGATGCATGACAGGTGTGCTGGAAGGTTCCAGCCCTAGGAGACCCATGGCGCACTCTGCTGGAGACAGGGGGTAATTTCCAGATCCCAACAGTAACTCCAGTCCTAAAAGACAATAACAAGAGACAGAAGAGGATCCTCGGCGCCCTCTGGTGGGCAAGCCTGAGGATCCTAACACTTTGTTTGTGTAAAAGGGCTTTTTATAAATTAATAAACCTTACCTACATATTGGCGTACTATTTATACCTGAATGCTTTATGGACAACTATTTAGTAAACACCATCTCATCATAGCATATTCCTACTGTACAGGGAGAGTTCTAATTCAATGGATGTTACAGATCTGTCTCCATTATCTGTAATGTTTACAATAGGCTTGACATTTTTTACACAAGTAATTGCTCTCAGTGTGGATTGAACTACTGTACTCTGGTTACCTTATTATTGTTGATAAATCCTCTTTTATGGCTCAGGTTGAGTAAATCTTTCTTTATTACTTGTTCCTCCCTGGTTAGTTCTGATTCGGTATCATTTTTTTAAAGTTGTGTGAGGAACTGCAATATTGCATTCTTGGTTCTGCACATACAGTATATGATTGAATGGATTTAGGTTAAACACAATACTCCATTTGTTTGGTTTTCATGGGTACTGTACCAAATTACTTTACTGTAATAGCTGTATCTTTGTTTTTGAATATGTGAACCATTACATCAGGGCTTGGTAGTAACTTTAATTGTTTATTTAATTAGTGTTATGAGGCTTCACATTCAAAACTGTTGGTAAAAAAAACTTAGGAGCTATAAAACAGTTCTAAAATTTAAGCTTTAAAAGTAGATACATGTAGACTGAGGTTTTTTCTGCTTACCTTTTGCCAATACATTTACTGAAGACACTAAATGGGAAGAGCAACTTGGTATTTGAGGGCAAGAAAAACAAAAAACAAATGCAGTTAAAAGAAAGGTTGAAAAATATTATATGAGGCAGTAATATAACCCATTCCTTGTTGTTTGAATAACCATTAGGTTGGTCTAATTTTCAAAGAAATTCAGTGAAGTCAGTTCATCAAGGTTATCGTCTGGATTTTTCTCTCTGTGACCTTGGCTCAGGTAGTCTAACGGAGAGGAAATAAGCCCCCCGCAGCACATTTTAATAAGAGTCGAGTGTCATCCATGTGATGACAGGATCTGTTGCCAAGCAGGCATTAAACACTACTCATTCTGACTTTTGCTAGAGGGATGCCTTCTATATAATTGGAGTTTCAGTCAGTTGTACAGAAAGGACATTAGACCAGAAAGTCACCAGCTCTCTCACAGCTAAATGGTAAATCATAATGGTCAACTAGTCTAGGACATTGTGCTTTTACTTTAAATCTGGAAGCTCATTTAATATTCTAAGAACAAAGTGAAAGACAGGAAAGACATTACTTTTACTTTAATGTGAAGTAATCATTATTTGGTTCAGTAACTCTGTAGTAAAAGTGGGCTCAGAGCACATTTTTCTTATTGTACAGTTTCCATCAGTTTATTAATATCCTTCCATTTGAGTGAGCAGGGGAATCCAAAGGACAGGGAGAGGCAGTCGGGTATTCTTTGTGTCATAGTTTTTGGTTCTGTTTAAGTTTTCTTTTGAGTTTTCAGTTTCACTTTGATCCATGTTTTTGTGTTTTCTAGTTTTATTGGTTTAATTCCTATTTTGTGGTGATTTCTGGATGTATTTGAGTTCTTAGGTATTTCTTGATTGCCCTCTGTTGCCCTTTTGTGTCGGTCTCCTTTTTCCTGGCTCCTTCTAAATGCTTCCATCCACACCTATCTTAATCAGCTCTTTAGTCCAGTCTGTGTTCTGTCTCCTATATATACTCTCCCTGTGCAGTTCCCCAGTGCTGGTTTCTCGTCTTTTCCTGGCTCCCCACCTGAGTTTTCCCCTGAAGTAGTCTGGTTTTTTGTTCCTTGTATTTTGTGCTTTGGTTTTGGATATTTGCCTCAGTAATTTCATTAAAACTTCAAGAACTCACCTTTGCCTCCTCACCACTGCATTTTGGTCCTCAAAACCTCAACCTAACCCTGACACTTTGTTCTTTTCATTTGTTCAATAACCCTCTTAAAGGAATAGTACACCCAAAACATGATTAGCCTTCATCTTCTACTCACCCCCATGCTGAACAACACTCTGGAGTACTTTTTTGATATCTCAAATGCATCTGGAGATCTGGGAGGCTTCTTACTGTCTGCTGACATTCAAATAATGGAGGTCTATGGTGCCCGAGGCAGAAAGGTCCATAAAAGTCCACAAAAAACGTGTCAATATTCCTCCATACTGCTCGTCCAATGTATTCCAAGTGTCCTGAGTGGTTAGCGTCCATAATTTACTCAAAACGAAGTCATTTAGAATGTTTTTAGAGCATAAACAGTAGTGTATAGGATTTCCTAAAAGCTCGCGCCTGCGAGTTCACGAGCCTACGGAAACCGCGGCAGACCAAACCAGATGAAAGTGCGCATTCAGCTCCGCAAAGAACTCATGCTCTTCCTCAACACTGAAGTCCTCAGACATTTTTCTTTCGTTGTTTCTTTCTTTGCACAGGTAAACAGCCAATTTCTTCTTCTACGCTTGCATTATCAAGAGCAGACGCTGAATGCGCACTTTCATCTGGCTTGGTCTGCCGCAGTTTCCGTGGGCTCGTGAACTCGCAGGCGCGCGCTTTTAGGAAATCCTATACACTACTGTTTATGCTCTAAAAACATTCTAAATGACTTTGTTTCGAGTAAATTATGGACGCTACCAACTCAGGACACTTGGAATACATTGGACGAGCAGTATGGAGGAATATTGACACGTTTTTTGTGGACTTTTATGGACCTTTCTGCCTCGGGCGCCATAGACCTCCATTATTTGAATGTCAGCAGAAAGCAAGAAGCCTCCCAGATCTCCAGATGCATTTGAGATATCAAAAAAGTACTCCAGAGTGTTGTTCAGCATGGGGGTGAGTAGAAAATGAAGGCTAATCATGTTTTGGGTGTACTATTCCTTTAAGGGAATCAACCCAAACGTATAACGGATTATCTTTACCTAAGGCTTGCTTACGAAAGTTTGATTT